CAAAACTCGAACTATATTACACCCATTTCCTTTTAATCACTAACTATATACAAGGTTTACTAGTAATATTCACAGACGCTGAATACGGAATTCGCCATATAGGTTTTTTGAGTAGATTGCAATTAAAGTTTCACAATCACGACAAATCACAGAAAAAAGGAGCAAAACAACTTCAATAAACACGTCATTGTCGTGCGATAGATCATAACAGTATTTTTTCGTACAAACACGAGTTGTCCGAGTTAACGTGTTTTGACCGAAACTCATTCCAGTAACTGTAATTGTATACGGTTGACGCATAATGTCCTTTATCTTAGCCCCTGGGAAAAATGCTGTATACTGGTCATTTTCCTCTCTTACCGTCCGGAACTGGTATCGTAAGTCTAAAAGCTTTCCAGGTAGAATATTTCTATTTTTGGAATTTAGTAGGAAGGTGTGATATGAATTATTTTTAGTTTGCGATCGCACAAGCATACTTTTGAGTTAAATCCTTCACTGCGACATTAATGTCCTCTGGATTTCAGGTTTCTTGCTTTTAGGATGAGCTTCCGGTTAACTCTTCCTCTTTCGTGAACACTGAGTGCAAAAGGGGTTTTCCAAAGTATCTGAGAGATTCTCGAGAATATCTTGAGAGAATCTCGGGTTACATGTAAAAAAGATTGAAACTGGCACCGATAAACTTACTCGTCCCCATGTTGTACTACTCTGCCATAGCAAAAATCATGGCGAGTCTCAACACTGGTGATGATTATGTCCCAGTTACAGCATTGGTCAGAACTCCACGTAGGACTTTTGTCTATTCATGTACAAATAATAATGTATCCTAATTTCCGTTGGATGCAAGGTCACCATGTCCTGCGATAGATTACCAACCTGGGTACCATCTCGATCGTGGTATTTCCATGGAGGAAGGAGGTTACCAAGGGCAACGTCAGCGTCGTTGCTCAAAAAACAGCACGTCCAGGTTGCCCAGGCCCAAAAGAATACTGGGAAAACAAAACTCGAGCCACAAACACGGCGGAGGGAGTAACATGTTGTCGAACCGGCTTCTTACGTCTCCATTCAAAAGACATGCATGTAGTCTGGCAGTTGACGCTACATCTGTATCTACCTACATGGTATTTATTTCGACATGTACACTTACAATTTTTTGCGTCGTTCATCCCCTTCGGACATCGAAGATTAGAATATTCTTACAAAACTTCTTACAAGACTTCTTGTCTATGTCATAGCTCTTGTGGTTAGCACTATTTATGGCCTCTCCTTCGAAAACCCTTCTGTTTTCCCCTATAACTAGCCTCACTATCCTCCACTGCTTTCTCGCCACTTGTTACCACACGTAATGCATGATACTGGCAATTGAATAATCAGGCAAGTTCACGAGACTTGCATGAGTGCCACTTACTTGCATGAGTATACACTTACCTTGAAGAAAATAACCTTATTCCTAGTTACCAGTCAGGATTTAGACCCTTGCACTCAACTGAAACCACCCTACACGATTTGACAAATAGGTGTTTCCAGGCTATGGAGCATGGAGAAGTACTGTAGTGTATTTATAGATCTCAGTAAAGCATTTGATTGTGTTGACCTTGAAATTCTTCTGGAAAAATTAAAAAGGCTTAACATGTCTACTTCACTAATCTGTTGGTTTAAATCATACCTAAGCGATCGTAGTCAGTCGGTAAATATTAAGGGTAAGATATCAAAGGTTCTGTCACTAACCGTTGGTGTCCCACAGGGTTCGATTTTAGGACCGCTTTTATTCATTATTTACACAAGTGATCTGCCATCCTGTATCCCACCAAATTGTAACTTGTATATGTCTGCAGATGACTCCACTCTAATGTGCAGTTCTTCCAATATTAATGAAACAGAAAGGAATCTGAATGTAGCTCTTGACAGAATTCTACATTGGTGCTCAAGAAACAAACTTGAACTAAATACAAACAAAACCAAATGCATGCTTATTGGCTCAAGGCAGAAAACCGCCAATACAGAATTGAACCTCAACATTGCTGATAGCCCAATTGTCAAAAAAATCTGGCAAATGCTTGGGAGTTATTGTTGACGAAACACTAAGTTGGGGCCCACATGTTGATTACGTAAGAAAAGCAGTCTCATCTAAAGCTGATCTATGGAGTTGTTAACTTGGTTGCCATTGTTCATTGGAGCTGGATGGGGAATTTCCGCGTATTCTTTTTTCCCCATTTTTTCGGGGTTTTCGCCCATCCTGTGATCAGTATTTAATTAATGCCTTGATTACTTAAATGTTCACAAGATGTGTATGATATTTTAGTGGTTTGTATTTGTAAATATTAATGTTTGTCGTATTTGTCAATTTTGCTTTTCGTCGTGAGTATGTAACAATTACAGTTGGGTCTTCTGGGTAACTCAGACCTTAAGTTTCCAAAAGACAAAGAAAATCAAGGTCCTTGAGCGGCCTCTTCAAATTCAAGAACTCAATCTCAATACGATCTTTGGCATAAGTTCAAGACCAAGGAATGTAATGCTCTAAAAACTTCAAATTTCAGTGAACCACAGCAGTTTCCCAAAGTACACAGGGTGCACTTGAATGTGTCATTTGTTTGACCACTACGATCATTTCTTTACTGGCCAAGTGCACCTGTGACTGGTCCTCCATGCATCTGCGATTTCCACATTAAATAAAAATCATACGCAGTGAGAACGAAGAAAAATCGCGATAAATTTCCTCTGGAACTAAGAATCCGAGTGCAAGTTCAAAAACATTTTGACCTCGAGGGGCGCTGTCATCCGTTGGCCAGACAGGTTGCACGGATAAACATTCATTGTCAAAGGTTATTTATTTTGTCATAGTCGAAACATTTCCACGATATTATTCGGAGTTATCTGGGTGCATCAACTCAAAAGTAATCGCCATGAGGAATACATGTACTTTGGTACTGTTTATTCCCTAGTCCAAGTTTACGAGAGGGGTTAATATTTCAAACCTCAACAGTAAGTCTTTATTAAGTCTTCCTGTAAAATTCCCTTTCAAAGCACAAAACACGAACATCACAGTTTTAACTTCCCAGTTCGAAAATGTATGGAACAAATTTAATACATTCAGAGGCGTTCTTTTTCATCACGGTTAAATGCCCTCGTTTCATATATAGATAGCTACATGATTTAAACAAATTACTGTTTCATCAACGGATTTGCATAAAAAGATGTCTAACTTAGTGAAAATACAATGCCCAAAATATCAAGTTTAATTAGAAAAAGGTTTTTGTACAGTGTCTTAGAAACTGTTTTACCCAATTGGTGCCCCCGTTCGAGGTCTAAATACAAATAGGCCTTTTTGTACATAATTGAAAAGAATAATTCATTAGCGTTTCAAAACAGCAAAAGCATAAACATGCTCCAATGTCAATCACACTGTGAGGGAAGACCTCATGGCGGATCTCCTTGACATTCTAACAATGGAAATACCACATGGGAAGTCGAAACCAGTTGTCGTCCTTACATGGTACAGACCTCTCAATTCCAATATGGATCTTTTTGAGCACGTTGAGCGCATTCTACGTTAACCTGGAAATGAAAATAAGGACGTTGGTTTCCTTGGTGACTTTAACCACGACCTTATTAGCACCAATACTTCTTGTTACACGAAAAGGCTTGTCAAACTCACTGAAAACTTTCAGCTATATATAGTACAAGAAATCGACGAGCCTCCTCGAGTAGTCCAGCATTCAACGACACCTATCGATGTACTGCATACATCTAACCAGGTGAAAATTGCCACACATGTGGAGTTAAGAGGACATTCAATGCTATATGCTATTTGATGAAAACACAATGCAAAATCTAATGGTCACACTGTTACAACTGTACTAGATGTTACAGCAAGATAACGACGATTGTTTTTAAAGGACCTGTTCGATACTTATTGGATTTGTTTCTTTGTAGTAATAAAAATGTTGACGATGCTCTTGATCAATTTGAGAATCTTTTTCTCGAAGTTTGTGACAGACACGTACCTTGTAAATCAAGAAGAGTGAGGCAAACCCTTGCTCCTTGGCTCAATCAGGAGATCTTTGAAATAATGAAGAAAAGGAATCGCTCAATACAGATCGCCATCAAGTCTGGACTTGATCATGATATTAAGTGGAAAATCTACAAACAGTTTTAAATCCAAGTTACTTCTAAGATCAAAGTAAAAGAGATTATATTAATAAAGCCATCAGGTCCAGCAAAAACAAGAACGAAAAGGTTTGTAAATGCCTCGAACAGGTAATTCCGACTAAAAGCAAAATATCTGTGATCAACAAGATCTGTGCAGATGATGTTGAAATATCGGAACCTGTAAGTATTGCCAGTTTTCTCAACGATTATTCTGCTAGCATTGGGCTTAAACTCACTGCTGAAATACCTAGCAGTAATTGTGATAATATTGACAATATTGAGTGCTCTGAAGGCAGTTTTTGCTTCAAACCCATCTGCCAGGATTTTGTTTTAAAACAACTTCAGAATCTCGCGACCTCTAAGGCTACAGGCTGTGATAATAATTGTCTGTCTCGATTAAAGTAGCTGCTCCTGTTCTTACCCACCAACAGGTAACTTCCCCATAAGTGGAAGAGGGCTAAAATAGTACCTATTCACAGAGGAGATGACGCAAGTGAACCTAGTAATTATAGGCCAGGATCTGTCTTGCTTGTCCTCTTCAAAATCCTAGAGAGAGCCATTTTTGATCAGCTTTACGAACAAATCAGTCGCATTCAATCGGGTTTTCAACCATCACATTCCATCTCAACAGCTTTGATCAGTGTCACTGATGACTGGCTCAACAGCCTTGTTAATGGCGAACTAACAGGTGTCGTTATGCTTGACTTGAAAAAACCTTTGACACTGTGGACTTTGAGATCCTTGGAGCTACATGGGTGTAGACAGAAAGGGTATAAATAATTGGTTCGCCAGTTATCTGAATGATCATCTCCACATAACGTCAGTTCACGGCAACTGAACAAACTCTGTTCCAATACGTTGCAGGGTACCACAAGGGTCAATTCTTTCCTCCCCTTCTGTTTATTATCTATATCAATGACTTCCCTAACAATGTTAGCAACTGTAAGATCAGCATGTATGCACATGATACAGTCCTATATTAAGCCAGCATGGATGTCACTGAGCTTATTAGGGCAACTAATGCTGATCTAATCAATGTCACAAGTTGGTTAAACAAAAATAAACTTAGTCTAAATGTTAATAAGACAGTGCAGCACTAATTTTACTGGGTAGCAAATCAAGACTTCGTAACTTGCCTGAGACTGATTTTAACATCAAACTTAACGTAACACCATTAAATAGAGTAAAAAATGTTAGTATCTTGGAGTTATTGTTGACGAAAATCTTTCTGGAGCGAGCATATTGATCATGTGTGGAAAAAGGCTCTTATGGGGATCCACGTTCTTAAGGTCAAAAACATAGTCTCACAGACCATTGTTACTCACAACCTTCCATACAATGTTATTGTTTCATCACAATTATTTGACAATTCGGACGTAATGTGAGGAAACTGTGGATCCACAATCCAAACTTAACTACAAAAACTCCAAAACAGAGGTGCCCGTATCATGAGAAATGCTGACTGGAATGTTCCAAGTAGTGTGAATCTAAGAGAATTGAACTGGATCCCACTCAGTGCAAGAAGATTCATGAACCAATATGATGCTATTATGACGTATAAAATTATCCATGTCGCAGTACTTGAAAGATAAGTTTGATTTTTCCATTCAAATTACGCACTGAGGAGAAGCAATCGTGTGTGTTTCAGTGCCAAAGTCAAGCACTGAGTCCCTTAAACAAAGTTTCAATATAGAGGTGCGACGACTTGAAACTCCTAGCATGTCAGTGTTCAATCAAGTCTACAAAGTTTTAAGATACATATTTAAGTGACACTGGCATCTTGAAAATTTACTCCTCACTCCTGCTTTTTATATCAGGACTTCATCTGGAAAGTTTGTTTGGTTTCAAAAACTTATATGTTGTATTTATATGTTTTGAATCTATCTATCTATTTTGAGTCTTTCTTTTTAATTTATTTAAAATTTTTACTGTTGCTATTGCTTTTATATGATTAATCTGTACACGTATTTTCCTTTTCGGGTTCAACTATTATCAGTGAGTGGCTCATTCAAATTTTCTTCGGTTCTGTTTAGTTTCACTGTTACATCAGGGGCAGTACTTTTTCTTCTGTAAATTTTCTTCTTTTGTTGTGATTGCTTTTAAAGGCTTTATTTTTACATCATTTGTTCATCTTCGTAAATTGTTTAAATACAATTTTAATTTTATCTGGTTTTTGGTGGTTTTAATTCTATTGCATTTTGCTTATTTTTGCAATGAAATTGTTATTTTACCTTGGGTGGCTGATTACTATTTTTACTTGGTTGTTGTGGTGAATGTTTTAGTTACTGTTTTACTTTCACATCATTTTTTTAACACAACCATGGGTTCTTTTTAATAACACGGGCCCTTGAAAAGCAACTGCAGTTGAATGGGTTACTGTGTATAAATAACTTTACATCAATAAACAAATATATAAATTTCATTTGTTTCCGAAATGACTGAGATGTGGCTAATTTAAAATAACTACCGTTATACTCTTGTGACACGGACAGGCTGTCCCATGCACACCATACTGGGCAGGCCTATTGGTCTGGTCCTTGGTTTTCATGCTGGTTGGTCGCATTGGCCTAAAAGTTATTGTCATAACATTAAGTTGGGGGCACCATTGCCATAAAACTCCGACAACTGGTTACCTATATACTTACAAGTCCCTCGAGGTGGCGGAAAAGATGGTAAAATAAATCCATAACACTGACAAAATCCTAAACATGAATAAATAATTAATATAACTAAGATGCATACCTCGCTGATATTTTTATTTATTTATTTTTTTAGTTTGCATGATAAAAATAATCTCCAACTCGATGAGGTAGAAGAGTCATTACAAAAGTCCTTATGTGCCAATACAGTGTTTTTGGCTCGTATCTAACTCGAGGGATCTCATCAGTAACAGCATCTATCATTGCGTCGAGCACCGGCTGCGTATTAGTGTTTCCAGTGCGAGTGAAGAATCGCATCCTCTGAACGCGAGACTGGAAAAAGTCCTCTCCGTACGACTCTTTCACTTCTTCCGACATACTCCTCCACATTTCCTCGGCAATGTGGTCAATTTTATCCTGGGTGAAGATGCCGGTTGCGCCGATAAAGTTGCCTGGTTCAACAATGACAGTTTTGACATCCCAGTTACGCATTTCATAGCGTAGACATTGTGTAAATCCTTCGAGGGCATGCTTTGTTGCTACGTAACATGACCGCCCCATTGATGCTTGGCGACCTAGCACACTCGTCACATTCACAACACGCCCTTCAAAAAGTCATATTTACAACAGTATTAATGCAAATAAAGTGGTACTTTGAATGCAGCTGTTACCCAATGAACATAAATGCACACAATAAAACAATACAAATCCAATATAAAAACCTGTGGGCACTTCAAAATTAAATATCCCCAGAAAGGTATTATAGTGGTCAACTGGTTCTTGAAAATGGAAAGAGCAACAACAGTTTTTGTAAGCTGAAATAGCTGAGTAGTGTATGTATACAATGCTTCCACTGGAGGGTTTCCCCAAATCACATTTCGTGGTAGCATCTACAAACGAACGAATCGTTACAGAATCATATCTATAAACTCAAGAAAACTCAGAAATGACACATTAAGTACTGCATTTGGTGCCAGTCACAAAGACATTTCTTGGAGCAAAGCAAAACCTTACTTGAATGGGAAAGCCGGTAATCGAGTACATGTAAACATAGGCGTCGCGAGGGGAGGGCAAGAGGGGACACCTGTCCCCCCTCCCCTGAAAAAATGGGGGAACATTAAAAAAAAGTTGGAAAAATGAACTAAATAGAAATAAGAGAGGAAATGGAATAAAAATCACGGATTTGATTAAAAAATTTCCCCTCCACCCTTAATGGACTACACCTAGCTTGCACTCATGAAACATCCCACCCAAGGGGGAAAAATTGTTCCCCCCCCGGAAAAAAATCCAGGCGACGCCCATGCAATGAAATCAGGCACATACACTGTAGGAGTGTGACAACCAAATCTCTCTTCGGTTTACGGCTTTTATTATAAAATTATTTGATGGTGTACGGAACCTTTGGGAATGCACCAGTTCTGCAATTTGGATTATTTTAAATCTCTTTAAATGAAATCATTTTTTTTTTTATTTCTGTGCGTGAGTTTCTTTTCGCTTTTGTTTTTACTACACCAGCTTAGACTGGCAGTTCATCTTTGTCAAATTCCCAGTTCCAACCACGCATGGTGGAAGACTAGGAACCCCAATGGCACAGAGTACTTTCCTTGACCTGGATTTTGTTGCAATACGTTTACTTGATCCCAACGATCTTTTGACATTAATTCCAAGGGTTAAAAAGGGAGTGTGGGCTCCTATTGATATACATCTAACCTCTTTGAACCCAAGTTTGGAATCAGGTAACTTTCCTTTCCATAATGTATAGACAAATCCGATGAGGCTCCATTCTGAGGGGCCATTTACACTCAAGCAGCTGTCTCAGCCTGAGCGCACGCTAAACATGCTAAATATCGGCAATTGACTGCTGCCTATTGGTAAAGGAATTTCAGACGCTCGCACCGTACCGACTGTACCTCAATGCGAACAGGATGGCCCATATAGTAAATAACTACTAATTTTGGTCTTCGAATTCTAAGGACCCAATAACATGCATACCAACATCCTTGAGGTTTCTGAAACAGAAATTAAAATAAAGTCCGGTCCCTAATCTTTAAATTTCTTTTCAAATTTGTTTGTGGGTTAACTGACTCAATTTTTTAATAATTCCCTCAAAACAACCCCCCCCCAAAAGTGATTTTTCCGAAGTCTGCTTGCAGTGCCACTTTTCAAGTGGTAACCCTCAACTTTCTCGGGCACTGAGGATCATTTTTCAACCGTATTTTTAGCCATTCTGCTCTCCAATGGAAGCCTCAAAACCAAGGGAGTTGATTCAATCAAAGATTTACACAATCATATTTTTGGGAGGCCAGAGAATCTCCTTTTTCAACAGATATTGTGGAGGTCCTTTTAATGCTAATGAGCTAGCCAAAAATTTTCACCTGAATTAGTGGACTTCACCCTTGTAAGGCGAGTATCGTCAACTTCATTGTATGGAGCCAAAATGGCTACTCATTATGCATTCAGCACAGCAGGCAGCTATTATGAGCTAACTGCACCGACGTATAAACCACCATTTCAATTTCAATGGTCCCGAGGGCAGGCAAAAACATCTTTGGACAGACATTTTTGATCACACAAACAAGACAAAATTTACAACCCACCAATAAAATTTTAACTTAATTCTGCCACACTGTTGAAGAAATCTGTACACATGTATTTCCCTCCAAAATATAGAGCATAACTGCACTCAGACACCCCCCATGAGGATCAGTTCCAGGCTGGTAGTTTTTAGATGTTGTTAGGAAGGGATCTTGATTACATCCTAACAGATATCTTTTCAATGCATCTCTACTGAGTATTCAGGCCTTCGGTGTGTGTGTGTATGGCAACAATCTATCAGATGTCGGTGCATGGCACTAAGGAAATAAATACATGCTTGTTCCTTTGTTTGTTTGCTTCAGATCGGCTCAAGAGAATGGACAATTAAGACAAGTGCCTTAACCAAAGGCGAGGGCACTATCAGTGTCTTGTTGTGAGGGCAAAGGTCTTAAAATTCTTATTCCAATTCATATAAAGACATCTTGAGTCAAAAAGTCAAAAAGAAGTTTAGAAATTACCCATTTCAAGCGATTTTGTTCATAATTTTACTCGATTTTAACATTCCCTTAGCCATGTTATGGTACTGTATGTTCCTCTTTCGAGTAGTCGTTTATGTGGACAAAGGGCGCAGGCATGCTACCTGAGGTGGCGCACAGCCAGACTGCTCCCGTCCGCAACTTTTTAATTCTTTTAAATCAGCTTCAGCTTGTGCATGTACACAAGACATAAGACCACCTCATTCGTCTGGTTCCCAGATATAAATGTATAATACAGAAATGATGTCCATCTGAAAGAGTAAGCGACTAAATGTATGGGGACCTAGAGGGACTCCTTTACTGTACGTAATTAGGCCTACTCAACCGTACCCCATCAAAATCACGTTCAAATTGCGGAGTAGCTGGATTCAAGTCGATTATTATGCAAGTCTGGCAGCTTTTGGACATCATTTTTAAACCAAATAAAAAACTTTTTTTATTTTGCCGATGCACACCGTTCTTCAGGGACGCGCGCGCTGACCAGAAAGCGGAGACCTTTTTTTGACCCAAGATATACTGTATGTTTAATAAAACAGAAAGAGATATAGATGCCGCGAGTGTCACTCTATTCAGTGAAGTTTTTCGCCGTGGAAAGGAAATCACGGGAATAATCTATTTTCTGCAAGATACATATTCTTTTTTACTCTTACATGTACATGTATACGAATTACAGTGTTATTTCATGTCCTACTCCATGCATTTCTTGCTAATTCATCTCTACATTTCATTCTCAATGACTACATGACTTTATTTTCACATTTATTTTAAAAGAAGTTTATTTTCTTTCGTTGGATCTTTTATACCGGTATAATAAAAAATGTATAAGTATTGGTGCACAGTTTTTAAATACCGACCATTTTGTGCTTCATGCTTGTGCATATTAACCCCTTTCTTCAGTTTTTTTGGTTTTTTCTTGGACACCCTTTACAACATTCTGCTTTAAAGGTACAGTCCATCATATGCAGTTGTCCAAGAAGTAAGAGACGAAATTTTGTTGAAAAGATATAGTACTTGGTTTAAAGATTGTTCTGGAACTTAACTGCCAGTGGAAATAATCTCCCTGGCAAGCAGTCATTGTCACGAAAACAATGAAAGAAGTCCATTCCAACAAAGAGTCGAAAGGTGCATTTTAAAAAAAATTGCCATTAAAAGCATGTGAAAGTATTGACACAACAGTCGTGCACGAACACCGTACAGTTACTATGAAGGCACCTGTGTGTATGCATTACGTACACGATGCATTCGTACGTTTCACTTTCACGGACACAAAATCCACTACCATGTATATCACAATATACATGTACACGTACATCCCTTTCCACGTACATGGACGTATACGTATGCGTTGCGTGTGCGTGGAGTTCAGCCATCAAGATCGCCCCAGGGGCAATTTCAAGATTTGTTCTTTGTTACCCTTCTTTGAATTTTGAATAATTTTGTGGCCTCAAAGGAACATATAATGCACTAGTAACAAATGATGGACTGCACCTTCATGAGTTCCTGCAGAGTTCTAGGGGGCCTGTAATGTGCATGTAGGCCTACCAAAGTGAATTAAGGCATCTTTCCATAGGTATGTTTTTTGGTGCATTATGTACACAATGCATTCCGTACACAATGCGTTCATACCTTTCACGACACAAAAATTACCATTACCAAAATAATACACGTGTCAAAATCGCTCAAGGCGTAATTGGCGCAAGTGTTGACAAATGGAAAGGCGCTTTTTTATGTGCATGAAAGTAAAATGCATGAACACTGGTAAAAAATACATACATGTACATGTACATGTATGGAAAGGCGCCTTTAAACGTACCTCACACACACAATTATCTGTGTAAAAGGCATTAGCTCAAGGACAAGCGTGTAAACCAATGCACGTAGCCCGTTGCATTACACTTCTCAGGGCAAATGATTTATGCACTTTATTCTCATGTGCCATTAACTGGTCTAAATATTTCATGTCACATGATCTGCAATTCACTAATGAGAAGAAGAAGATTTATTCAGGTGCTGTATAAGGGCTCTTTATTATTCTACAGTCACTGGTGAAATTGAGATATCAATTTGAACCTTTGTGATACATTAAAAAGTACTCTCCAACTTGATGGGATAAAATAATCACTACAAAACTCCTTGGGTGCCTATCTAACTCATGAGATTTCATCAATAGCAGCATCTGTCTGTGCATCAATCACAGGTTGGGTGTTTGTCAACAATGTTAGCAATCCGCCGCATTATCCGATCAAGAGACTTGAAAACATTTTCTCCATACGAATCTTTCACTTCATCTGACACATTACATGTACTCCACATTTATTCAGCAATCCTTTCAACTTATAATGTTGTGATGAGGCAAGGGCCAGCCAAAAAGTTTCCCAGTGCTACTTTTACACTTCCGCTAACTTTCACACCCCCATCTCCACATTTCAAAGCACAGACATTGTGTGAAACCTTCCATGGCATACTTGGTCACAGCATAGCACAACTGGGAAAGTGATGTCATTGCTTGACAACCTAACACACTGGTCACATTCACAATAAGCCCTCCAAAACACACTTATAGCAGCTTACAAGAATTGAACAATGATCATGAAACTAATTACATAAAGTTGCTCATTTGGGATCCCAATAAACTTTAAAAGTTTACCATCTAATCTACACGTAGAATAACTATTACGATAGGTGTGACATACGAGAATATTGAAATGTAAGTACCAACATGTATGTAATTAAAAAGCTTCACGCAATGAATAATCACATTTTGTTTATGTCTGTACTCTTCTTCAATTTTTCCATAATGTAACATGAAAGGTGCACTTTTTAAGCATTCAAAATTGCCCACGCATTTCTGGACAAGTGAGGGCGCTTTTGCCATGATATACATGTATATCCAGGAAGACACTGTTCAGTTAGCATGTTTTCATGTTCAAATTGTGAACTCCAAAGTTGCTAATTGAAAACATTTCTGAGTAAAGGTTGCTCACAGGTTTGCCATAGGAAACTACATGTAAATTGTGCACAAATCAGTGCAACACTGAGGTTCAGTGCTTTAGATGACATCATAGTTTTACTCATGAATATGCAAATTAAATTAGTGAAAAGACCTCAAAAGCTCCTCAATAGGCTTACAATAGCAAAACAAAAATTTACAATTAGGTTAGTTGAAACTACCGGTAAAAGGTGCCATTTCAAGGGTTTTAGTAAAATACAATGTACACTTATTTCTATTTTCTAGTCCCTTTAAAGACTACAGATTGATTATTATTCGCCTGATTGGACTATGGGCATATTCGAAATGACTGGATTTGGCTTAGACGTTGGTCTTGCTGGTTCTATCCATTTAAAAGCCGCGTTTGAAACCACATGTTCAAACTCTGACAGGAACCAGCAAAATCGTAAAATCAAAGTGTAAGCCGAATCCACTCGTTTTGAAAACACCCTTTGTCTCTATGTGTAATTTTCATGTACAGATCAGCCTAAAGTTGTGGCAGTCATGGCAGTTTGCTATTTGAACATTTGAACTGGACTGATGGTCAACCCAGGCACAAAAAAACCTACTATTTGCTTTGCAAAAGCTCATCTGGGCAAAGAGCTAAGTTTTTGGTTGTCAATTCTATGGTCTTTTGGTTGTAACTTCTACGTTACCTACATGTACACTTGGAATGGTATGAATGATTCTTGGCTTTACTGTACAAGTGAATGATTCACTCACCTTTTGTCTTCCGCAGCAGTGGTAGAAATGCCTTACAGACACGTATTGCCCCCCACAGATTGACATTAGCAACACGCTGATACACATCCAGTCCACAAAACTCAACATCCCCAAATGTGGAGATGCCAGCGTTGTTAACAATTGCCCACAGGCCTGTCAAGATACAAGTTGAATTCTGTTGGTACATGTGCTTTGTTGTTAAATTGGGTTATATTTTTGAAACAAGAACACACACGTACATGTTTCTGTACGCACATGTACGTGTAGCCACATTAGTTCTAAAATACATGTACATGTATGGAGACAAGGTTGTCAGACAGGAGATGTTTGAATACTATCTTTATGAGGAAAAGGGATATAGCATTGAATATACAAGTAATTATTATATCCAACTTTAGGGTCAAAATTTATTTTTGAATGTTTTAATCCAATGGCACATCAGAGGTGCATAAAACATTTAAAACATGTCATATCAGTAAACAATCATTTTGCTTGGTGAAATATACAGGTATGGCAAGGAAGTACTGTAAAATGCAAGAACATGCAGACAAGTGATGGGAGGGTCCTGAAAATTCCAACTTCTTAAAATGCTGTGATGCCAAACCACAGTCCTTCACTGTGCTGACTTATGTAGGTAAGCTGACTTACATATAAATACTTGTACATGTACATGTACATGTAGCTGATTCTTGGTGGTCACCTATCCAAGATTTCTTATCACATCATCACCTTTTTTATACCTCAACGTAATAAATTTTTGGCTGTAGAACATTGACACTTGAGGGCTCTACACTTGCTCAACCTCCACAATATTCTGAGCTTGTTAATGTGTACAGACACAATGGGAGTCAGTCAGAGAAGGAATGATGGCAGATGTCATCAGTTGCAGCATGCTGAAGTGCAAAGATGTGTTAAAATGTTCACCCGGGCAAAATCCTTGCATGTCTACGTACATGTGTTCCAGCGTACAGTGGTTGTACCGTAAGTAGAGGATTCTTAAAATACATGAACCTGTACCTACATGTACACAATACTGAGGGTCCCTAGTTTCTGGACTATGAAGTTACTATACACTGTACTGCACATGTACATGTACCTGTTGACTTTGGAAGAAGTGACAACACTGTCTGTACCGCATCAGATACTTGGTCCTCCTTCGTCACATCCATCTGAATCACGTGCAGTTTCTTGGAGGCTCTGCCCCCTGACTCAGATGGAACATCCTTCAGCCGAAGGGCGCCCTCTCCCTGCACGTCCAGACAGCCGGCGAACACCACAAAGCCTAGACTGTGCAAGCACTTGGCCAGCTCATGTCCGAAGCCAGTGTCACAGCCAGTGATCAGGACAGCTTTGTCTTGGGGATTAATCTTTGCCGACGGCAGGAAAAGTTTGCAGATGCCCAGAACAACAACCAGTGTTGTGATGATGGCCACAGTTTCAGTTATCATTGTGCAGTGATTTTCTGGAATCTTTCAGTTGAAAAAAATAACATGATTACATACATTTTTGCATATGTACCTTACGCAAATACCTTGATAAAACTTACCTAATACTGCTGAATGACATTCGGTAAGCCAAAATATCACCGACATTGTACACACTGGAGAATGCATTTCAGCCCAACTTCCGGGAAACTGCCACCAAACCACCGTCTTTCGTGATGAAGAAAATCCATGTCATCACTGATTGTAATGTTGTGTGTAGTTGGTGCATTATGTGAAGACTGTTTCTTGACAAATGCCTATAACACACCTACGTGTACTACAGTACATGTGATGAACTCAGATCCGAAAATGCAGTCTGTTGACTTTTCTTGATTATAAAGAAAAAAGTCACATACTCAGCTCAAGCCCCTACATGTAATTGCAAAATTCGAGATGTCCTAAGCATTAGGCCATGAATCTGATGAAGCAAATCAAAGTGCAAGTTGCTACAGCCACTTGAGGTACATACAGCCTTACAGGAGACTGAGTAACTCCAGCCCCTCCTTTTACACCTGTCCTTCTACATGTACATGTAAGTTGCAAACCTTCTTTCACATCTCTAGCCCCCAAAGATTTTTCTTTTGTCACCCTTTTTTTTTAATCACTGGAGTTCAAAAAAGTTTTTAAAGTGGCTAATGCAATGAGTAGGCCTATTTTTTGCCACAACCAATCATACCATACCAATACTCAGATAGTAGATATGTTGTACATACATATAATGTATAATATGGACACCACTTAGTTTCCCTGCAGTACAGTGATGACGACTCTGACTAGAGTAAACCACGCACGTACACTATTAGCCATCAACTGAAACGTGAAAGCAATGAATAACACGTTCCGCAAAGTCAACATAAGCAGTGAAAAATATTGAGGTAGCCTACATACAATCTGTGCAAGCCTACATGTACGTCCATGGAGGTAGAATTTTACCCCCATGCTATAGTATATGTACATGTGCATCATACATGCAGAGGCCTACTTAGTACTGTACTTGTATGATGTAGGATTTACTTGGAAAACACAGTTTTTAAGACTAGAGTCTCACAGGGTTTGTGCACAAGGTGTCGAGCAGCGTTGATAAATGGAATACATGTATTATTCTTTTCACTTACCTCCACGCACTTAACCACAGATTACAAAACTGTCGACTGCTCCATGTTCACTTCAGCAGGTCCAAAGTAAATCGCCGATTGCACTACAGGCTACATACAGCCTTCAGGTCACAAAGTTCTCGTCACCTCATTGACCTCTCCTTCGACGTGACCCAAACCCCGGCCTCGTTTCATCCATTTGGTTTGAGGGGTGTGATTAAAGAAAAATAGCTAAAGAACATATGATTATTTTTTATCCACATCTATTATTATATCTTACAGGTAAATTATATATGCTGAATATAAAATCTTTGATTCTGAGGTTACGCTCATTGCTCAAAATAACAAGGCCTACTGCTGTCCAAAAAACTCCCATGAATGATCCTTCCCCATTCTAAATTAGTATAATCTTAACAATACATGGTGTAGCCTGTCTCTCGCGATGTCAAGTCTCAATTTTTTTCTTCATTATTTCCAGTTAGTCGATATTTATTGAATATAGTGAGATACCTGTGTGATTTTGTAAAAGAGATAATGCTTCTGAAGCAGAAAAGCTACTGAAACTGTCTCTCCAAAAACAGGTAAAAGTGTCACCAAATGGCGCCCAGATTCCGGACACGCTTTGCTGTCCTGAGTAGGCCGAGGCTGATGATGCTAGCATTGTGTATAATCGGATACATGTAAATCAGGTCGTTTATATGCTAGCGTGTACGTGTAGAAGGTCAGATCCAGGGTAGCGATATTTTTTTATTTAAAACAATTTTCAAGCATGGATTGTGAAAATTTTAATCAGCTTCTAAACATTTTTTTAGGCCTAGTACTTAATAATAGGCCTAACATGTTTAATCAGATTTGTGTATTGCCACTAATGCCTTGGGCCTAGCCTACCTCCATTGGGTCCAACGTCTGCCCCGCTCTTACGGCAGTTCCCTTATGGCCACGTGGAGGCAGATGTCATACCCCACAGTTCTGGGAATAACTTTTGTAGGCCTAGGCTAGTCATCATGGTAGGCTACGTCATGACTGGTGTAACGTGCATGACAGATATTTGACATTTACATGTACCTGATGACGACATGTACGTGTACTGGTATATACGGAATAGGCATTCCATTTACATGCATTTATACATTTAGACAGCAGTATTGCCAAATGTCGTGAAAACTGGAAAAACAAAGATGTACATGTATGCTCATTCAAAAGATATATTGCAGTATTTCCAAATATCATGAAAATTAGAACACTAAGGATGTGTGCTTTTTCAGCAGTCTCTCAAAATGATACATAAGGCATATGCATGTGGTAACAAGTACAAGAGTTTTATCCCAGTTTAAGAAGCAAAGATGCTGATCTTTGTTTTATCATCGTAATTTGCATCAAGAGTTTACGTGTCTTTCGGTGTATAGGTAGATGTACATGTACTTAGCAAATTTGTTGTTTTATTAGAAATAAGTAGTTCATCATGTGACAAACTTAGCCTCAGCAGTCGGTCATTTACATGTAGCCATCACATGGTGTTTCATGTCTTGAACTTCAGGACCAAAACCACCTGGACAACTCCTAACAAGATCGATTTAAAAAAATTGAATTTAACCCTAACACTCCTCAATCCTTCACCTGTTGGAGGACTGATGAGTGTTAGGGTTAATAAAACAGATCTGATTAAAATAAAACAAGTCTGATTTTTGTTTGTTTATTAAAAAACTCATGATATTAAATAACCCTGTCCGGCTGGCACTGCATCGAGGGAACAATTACTTTTGATAACCGAGGGTCACACTTCGAAAAATAATTGGACATATTTTACATGTAAATGTATACCAGTCTAAGGTTTTAATTTAAGAGCACTTGGCTTCACTCGCACTTGCGAAGTGTTGAGAAAAAGTGTCCTTTTTGAAATTGAATTGAGACATTTCACTTGGCTGGTAAAATTTTGAGGGCCTTGTCTTTCCCCAATTAAATTGTGGGCAATGTTTGTCGGCTAAAGTGGTTGCACTTAGGTTCCCAGACTGGGTTCATGATATATTAAAATCATTTGGTCTTTTCTGTTGTAGGTTACACATCTTTGTGACATTGGCTGCTTCTCTCCCCACAACTGGTCAGCCATGGATGCTATACTTGCAGACAACTCTGATTTTAAAGTGGGTATCAAGCATAAAGACATCAAGATCAAGAAACCTGCCTTGGAAGATAGCACTCAAAACTTGGCTCCCGAACCTTTAGGTGTTGTGTACAAATTGCGAGACATCAACAAGGAGCTTGTGGAGGCATGGGCAAAAGAGTTTGAAGGATATGAGAGGGTTATTGTAAGTTTTGGTTTTACAGATTATCACCCTGAGAGACCTTGTGAAGTCAGCACAATTAACCAAAATGTAGTGGCAGGTTCAGAATTTATACATGTAGCTTCGTTTCATTGACATGGTTGGTAGGAACATTCTGGAGTTCTCCAAAGTCCTTCATTTATGGCTCATTCTTTGTGTCTGTGCTTTGGCCAAAATTATAAGGTATATGTACATGTACATTGTACATGTAGTTTCTGTACTATCTACATGTACCATAGTTTGGTGGCACCATCCTGCAATTTTGGGGGATGATTTTGGAATGTGAAGTTTGAAACAAAAGAAGGAAAAAAGTGTCTATTTTAATTTGAACGTGATGTAGAAAGGGTCACTGGATTTTATTTATTCATGCATCTCATTACCCTTTGAAGTGTTGTTCATTTCATTTGAGCCTCTCTTGTTGTTATTTCAATCAGTAACACTCTGCTGCACAATCCAACATGTACATGTACCCTGTTTTCATATGCCATGTATACCGTAAGGGGAAACAAAACGATTTTCTTCTTGGACATCAAACCTTGTATAAATAACAGGCACAGGGCTGTATCTTCACTAATCAGCTAATTGTGCAAAGTTTTCTCCAACCTTCTTGTGGACTTTGATGTTTCTAGGAACTTTTTAGGGTTTTAAATCAAATTGAAGACTAATTTAAACCTGATTTGTTAAGATACATGTAGGCCTACATGTAATGGTGAGCATCACAGTAAGGTGACAGTAGCTGACTTCATGAAACTCTTTGCCATTCTTTAGAAACGTAGTTGTCTTGTTCATTGCTCATTTCAACCAGATGCCTTTGGTTCAAAGTAAGGTTGGCATCATGAAGGCTTGAATGTCTCTTGGATCAGTGTCTTTATTCAGTTCTGGCTTTTCAACAGTTCCTTTCATTTGCATTCAAATCGAAGTATTTCAGAGAGTTCGGCATTTTGTATCGGTTCCACACAGGTTTCTGAAGGAGACATCTTCAAAAATGCCCCTGCAGCAGATGCAATAGTGAGTACAACAAAGCATTTCTATTTTCTTCACAAATGCAACATTTTTGATGTGTTAAAATTGAAATAATAAAATTCCAGAACAGATGAGTCTGGTTTGGGTCCTTTTCTGGGACCTTTGAACTTAGCCTGTTTGTGTACTCATGTCGTTTGACACCCGTATGAATGCAAAAGAATGCAGAAGGCCTGTGTATTTAGGGATCTGGGTTCCCATTTTAGTTCCAACAGGTGACCGACTGATGAAATGAAGCTAGTTATTGACGTCAGCAATACCCAGTGGCTGGATATGCAGCATAGGACTGGAATAAAGCATATTTGCATTTGAAAGGCAAATTCCCTGCATTCATTCAGTTTCTTCCCAAGGCTGCTTTGGAATTCTTTACATTTTCATGCTTGTCATCTTGAACATAAATTTTTCCAAGCACAAAATAAATGCATGCCAGCACCTTTCTTCCTTGAGTTTCTTTCTTTGCGGAGCTCACACTTTGAGTAGCCATTTGCGAGTCCTCTGGATAATGTATCTGGAAGTCTTAATTTTTGCAGGTGTCCCCAGCAAACAGTTTTGGCTTCATGGATGGTGGTATTGATATGGCCCTGTCAAGGCATTTTGGTTGGCAATTGTAAGTACATGTATCTATGTGCCTTTTAATTGTCAACCCCAGATGCTGATTTCCATGTGCAGACATTGTGATGCAGTTTGGTGCCAACAGTGAAGTTGAATTAATCATTGCATTTACAATGTGTTAACCACTTAATTTTGTTCAGATTTTATTCAAATCCCTAAATATGGCCCTGATTTAAGGAGTTCTTCATATTGATTCCTTCAACAAGGGAAAGAGCTTTTAAGAGAACTGCTAGGGTGACCTTACATCTTTCACTTCTCTCTTACACTGCCCCTTCAGAATGGACCGTCTTCAAGAAATGATAAGGACAGAGAAGAATGGGGAGCTGTTAGTAGTAAGTAACCGTAAAATCCATCTTTGTAAGGATTTGCTTAATTTTATGACTGGAGTTATAGTCAGAATGTATATTGAGTCATCAAGGCATTTGGTCAGTGTTTGAATGTGAGTAACAGTTGAGTGACTCCAGTCAATTCATTCAACTTCTCAAAGTGACTCCAGTCAAGTCAGTTGCCGGTTAGGACTTGAGTTGAATCAAGTCACCAGAAATTGTTATACGAGGAGGACTTAAGCTGAGTTATTGACTTAAATCCCATTGATTCATTCCAAGAAATTGCTCGGTATACTCTGTATTTACCATTGTAACCCAGGCTTAAACACTGGAGTGATGTACTGGATGAGCAACTACCAAGAACTGACACAGCAAATCTCAAAAATTGTAATAAAATACTTTCAGTCCAAGTGCATGTAAACCTCTGACCACAACTGGTCATAAATACCTAAAAATCCTTCATCACATTTGCCTTCAGGCTGACAACCTGCCGCACCCCTTGCAGTGTGTCACAGAGTTGGCAGCGTTTTCAGCGATCATTTTTCATTGATTGACAGGGAGATGCCCTCATTGTCCCCACCTGCCAACAGTTTTGGGGGAAATCCGACCGTAATTCATGCTGGGGGGCTTACAACCAGGGTGCCCCCATCAAGTTTCTCATCTCAGCTCCAACCATGAGGGTACCAGAAGATGTCTCCAATACTATCAATTCCTACTTAGCATTTAGAGCCATCATCTTAACAGGTAAGCTGAATTTCATGTTCCTTTCAAGTGTGTAAGTGACTTGATGCTTGTAAAACAGATTATGGATACATCTCATTTACCTATTTGTTTATCAAGTGAAGTTGAAGGAATAATCTCACCTTTTTGTATTGACAGGTCACTGAATTTGACATTTAAGGCTTGACTATAGTGGTGGAGACCCTACTGAGTCAGAAAAATTCGACATTTTTGTCCATGGATGGGGAGGGTTAGAAATGGCACTTTTTCTTGATCGTTAGTCTTTTTGTGTATCAGATGCTAAGGATGGTTGGCATTCTAGTAATCTTGGGAATCCCCAAATGTGGGAGGCCTGGTATAGCTGTGTAAGAATTAACTACCATATTGGATGCTACATGTATGAATGAATGTAGACATGGTGAAAACATTGTACATCCAATAGCCAGATTTGTTTAAAAGTGTACATGTACAGTAGTTTTAGCAGCCTGTGATTCATCACTTGCCCAAGTTGAGGGACATGCCTGTAGAATTCCAATCATCTGCCCATTGCCCATACAACACACGATACACATTTAGATGGACACCCAGTTTGGTTGCAGTCAGTGCATGCAGATACACTGTCCCTTAAGTGGACATTCCTTTGTTTGGCGTGTAGTTAAGACATCTCAGGGAAAAATTACCATGTTGCATCCACTGGAAACATTCTTTTAAGCTAGATTTTTGATGATCACTAATTTTACTCAGCGGACGTTATCAGATGTTAATGCAAGGTCAATTGACACGTTTCGATCAATAAGAATAGAAGAACTGTCCCAGGTATTTATGAAGATAGAATAAATAAACTTCATCTAGTATGAATTGCCACAAAAAATGTATTTGGTGTTCCCTTACACATGTACAGGAAAGAGTGAATGTGTTTTACATGTACATACATGTAGTATTTGGGCTTTTCTCAGGTGAATATGGTATGATTGTGGCTGCAGTTTAGGAATATCAGAATCATGAAGTTAAGTTGAAAAAATAGCAGTAATCCCTTCATCAAATATATTTCCCATTTGGGGTGAAAACGTCACAAGTTTGGAGCCTGAGCAAGGTGCAGGCTTATAAGAAGCAGTTGCCACTCATGATCTTTTTATCGTCTGTTCCAGTTCAACAACACAACTCCAAACCTGGTGCAATCCCCATTCGTAGTGTGCTGTGCTCAGGCCTAGCAACATCAGTAGGCTGCATGCCACCCAAGAAATGTGCAAAACAGGTACATGTATAGAAGCCCCACACAACACTTGCCTATTCCTTATGTACATGTATGTAATTCAGAGTTTTCAGAAAATAGCTGTGCTAATTAAATTGAGAGAGCACATCTTCCGTCATTGGGTCCAAGCAAAGTGAGAGCCCATTTTGTTTGTTTTCAATCCTTCTCTTGGAATTTCAGTGCATGAACATGTGGACACACCAGACAGTACATGGTACAGATATGTCAAATGACCCTAAAATAGTCTACACACTTGTATGAGGGATCATACATATCTGCATTTTATTAACATGTAGAAGAGGTGGGCATCGCTTGTGTGATGACATGTTCAATCTAGGATTTGTTTAGATGTGTACGCTGAGCCTCAAAATAAAAGGATGAATCAGCAAAAGTGGGAAAGTCTGACAAATTCTTCAAACCAACAAAATTGTCTTCTATATGTACATGTATGTCACCATTGGTAAAGTATCTCTTTGTGAGTTGGCAAGTTCTGAAAAGAATCAAAGAGCCATGTAGCTGTTGTGGAGTTCTTTGCTTCTAGAGCCTGGCCAACTCACAGAATGGATATTTCTGACTTCATCTGCACACATCCCACCATTGTACATTCAGTGTTTGAATTGCAGTAATTTTACCCTGTTGTGTAAGTACACTTAGCACAAACACAGTGAAGGGAGCCAGGAAGTCACCATCATGTCAGCAGTGTTTCCCTGACAGTTTTGCCATGATTTGAACACTCTACAATCGGTTCCACATGTGTATCAGTGTCAATCGGATTTTACAAAATTGATCTTGATAATCTTTCCCTCAGATGAAGAATGCATATGATATTTATGAAGAGGGCATGAGGGATGACCTCAGAAATCCAGACAGCTTAGGAATAGTCTGGGATCATCATAGATTTATGCAGTCTTCTGTAAGTATGTTCACATACTGATAATTGATTTCCATATGAACCCAAAGCCAAATAAATTGAAATGCTCACAAGCGGTACCTTCTTCCTTCATGCTTCATTCTTCCATTTATATGCATCTTGGAGTGGATGTGCAGCATGTGTGATAATAACAAACATGTATTTGTATTTTTGACTCGTTTGACTGTTGTCATTTATTTGAAGTTGTGCTTGATAAGAAATCTATATCTTACTCCAGACTGAACATTGAAGCAAAGCAGAGAAAGTGGTTTAGAGAATGTCAGCGGCATGCACATGTACCTGTCAGGATTGTAGAAGTCTCTGATACGTTTCATAATTCACCTCTTGCTGTTTTTTAATTCTGGTTAGCTGAAGCACAGACACATTGGGTTCAGTGATAAAGACACGCATCATGAGATCATACACGTGTCTTTCTAAAGTATCCGCTCTGGCTGGTGGGAAGTTTTTCAACCAGGCTCGTCCACGTGCCCGATGCATGCACCCAAAGCACGCATGAAGACCGTACATTCCAACATTGGTTGCACGCATACACTTTATGCTCAGTGGCAAATGCGCATAATTATACTATGACGCTCACCCTCTGAGCTCCACTAAAACGCTGTCATTTCAGTGTTAAAAAACACACTCATAAGTGACCAGAAGGGGGCCTATAAAGAGGACTCACAGGCCCTTGGGGTACATAGAAATGCACTATTGACCTCATGGCAAGTCCATATGAGTTATAACAACCATTATTACATACTACCTAAGGGTATATAACTATCCTAATTTGTCCCAAAATGACCGGATACCAGTGGACTTGGTCTGCCACACATGATCTGGACATTTCTCAAGGTTGCCATTTTTACACCAAGTAAGACAGTGAAACCCTGTTTGACTTAATTATCTGGTTTTATTTATTTTGCAGTCAGAGTTTGGTGAATTTGTCTACCAAGAGGATAGTTGATGGGAGCATTGAGAACCTGTATTTGTACATACATGTAAACCTACCAGGCATACCGCAAGGCTCCATCAACAAATACAATTGCCCATGGTCCAACTTGGTTGGAGTTTTATATTAAGTGTCTTTTTTTTTAAATACTTTATTTTGAGGAATATGTAGTCAAAGATGTGTGGATTATTAGCACATTGGAAGCTTATTTTGAATTATTTGCCAACATTTTAAAAGTTATTCCTATTTTCTACCCATTTCTTTGTTGAGATGTGAAAGCCTAAACTAAGTACTTGTTATTGGCTGAAAAACTGCAGTGCACTGGACTGGCAAGTGTACATTTTTTTCATTCATGCTGCTTGGTTTGTTCATGAAATTTATGACACTTAACTGTCAATCTTTTACCTTTGGCTAGATTTATCTATATGAGTCACTTAGCTTCCGTAATTGCCACACAAAGAGATCATGGAATTTTGCTTGTGTAGGTGATGTTGACCAAGAGCACAAAGAATAGATTGGAAATGCCACAGGTTGACTCCCTACTAGGCTACTAATGTGCATATTCCCTTCTTGAAGAGTTGAAATATTTTGCTTGATTCTGTTGATAAACGTCTTGTCAGTTTATCGTCACACGAGGTGTGGATACATGTAATAAGGAATAAAGTGGAAGTGGGGGGGGGGTTGGCAGAATGTTTTGAAATCATGATGGTTGATCATTATGAATGCATGATTGAATGACTTAGTTACTGAAACATCTGTTTGGTTAAAGAAGATAATGTACATTTATGCCAGCCTAAATAAAGAGAAATCTATAATGGATCTATTTGCAATATCTTGGTATTAATAACAGGCCTATTTTACAGACCATTTAGTTTCACATTTCCATTTACGTCACCTGTATGTAAAAAGGGTCATTCTGTCAATTTGGGGTCCAATTTCTTTTTGTCCCTTTCACATCTAATATATGTTTTTATAAGTTGAGAACACATTCTCTAATTTCAAAAAGTGATGAATTAATGCAAATTATTTGCCAAACAAATAGAAATAGTTGGAAATCAATCCCAGTGACATTTCCATGTCACATTACACAGGTCAGGTGTAACAGGGATGCAAAATGTCACTTTTGGACCTGGAATTTACAGAATGATCCAAAACAAAATTAATAAGTAAATGGTTTATTAAAAGAGTGAATGCAGAAAAGAGCATCGTTGCAGGGTTTACAGTGGTAAGCAAAATGTGATTCAATCTTACAAAAAAAGTTGAAGGCACCAGAGCCACTTCAGAAATCATGCACAATGCAAGTTATGACAAACTGCACACAAATCCAACTTTCATCCAAAATGTTCATTTGTTCATCAGGATGTCAAACTGAGTGGAATAAAAAATGAAGATCTCACTTTTGCCCTTTTGAAGTACATGTGGAACAAAATTACTGAAAAAGAAATCTCAAGACTTATTTTATCGGACCCTATCACAAGCTTCCATCAAAAGGCACGTTTTTACAGGTCTTTGTAAATTAGAATTTAACTGTGAACACTGGATTGCATGCAAGATGCCTTTGGTTGCAAATCAAGCCCCTAGCCTGACTCTAGAGTATATATACATGGTGTGCCTGCTAGTCTTGTGTAAATTATCGAAGTGTAAGAACGGCACATGTAAATGACCTAACTTCTAACATCATGACCCTGTGTTATCATAATTATCTATTACAACAAAATTCCAAGTGCATGTAATGAATACTGTTGGTTTGAATGGGATAGTTCTTTTTCTGGCAATCCTTAAATATTTGCAGATAGTTTTCAAAATAAAGAAGTCAAAAATATGAAAAATTTTAAGACAAAATGCTTCTCTTTGGGTCAGTTGTGTTATATTCTTCCCTTAAAACGGCAAATAAGATTTGCTTTACAACTCTAATTAGGCCAAGTAAAAAATAAGTACATGTATGTTTAGCATTTGGATGCTTGAAAAGAAAGAGGCAGGGTTTTTATCTTTTATATAGGTTTTCAAGACGGCCATCATTCTTCCAACATTAGTTGCTTTTACTGTTCAAAGACATTGAAATGAAAAGTACATTGGACAAGAGAACTGAAAACATTGACAGAGTCCAAAACGAAGGTGCTAACACATGGGCATGTGCGCAATATGCAGCCATAGCTGCAATTGATTTGATAAGATACTGCAACTGTCCCATGCACAAAGTGACTTGGGTATGGCCAGATATCAACTCGCGTTTCATCTTTGGTTGAATTTGTTGAAATTTTTTACTTTTTTCCTAAGGCAAAAATAATTATTAAAAAAGAAAAACTCCATGCGGAGGAAATGCTGCAGACGGGGACGATAGACATGATTTTTTTTCATTTTACTTGGCCTTAATTTTGCTTTTGGAATGTTACATAGTTCAGGCGTGCATGAAAGTGGCCAGGAAAATATTGAATGTTCTGATGTCTCAACCACACCTGAGCCCAACAACATAGATTCAAGTAAATGTGTACTTGTTGGGATGAAGACAAAAATATGAACTTCCAAAACACGCTGACCAGGACAAAAGTTAGAAAAGGGAGACAATGGAATAGCAATTCAAACAATTCCTGCATGTACATGTATGGGGTGAGGTGAGGTGGGATGGAGGATAGGGAAAAGGTAACACAAAACTCGGTACTCATAATCCAAGGTAAGCAGGATTTGTCATTGGCCACCCAAACTTCGTTAAACAAAAGGGGGAGATTGTTCCTTGTATTTATCATCACCTTGTAGCAACGATGGGGGGGTGACTTAACAGTACCTTTTTTTGTTAAATATGTAGATCGGACAACAGATGTTTCTCACAGATGCAATATTTCTGAACTTCACACATTAATATATGTAAAGGGCAGGGCATTTGTCATGCTTGTGAAAAAGGGGGCACTTGATGTGGGGGAAATTAAGGGGCACTTGTTACAAAATATAGGAGAGGTCGAACATGGTAGAAGTTCGTGATGACAAGACATTATGGTAAAAGATGGACATGGAAACCATGGCAAAATTTGAACAGCAACACAGCAATATCAGAAGAAGGACAGACGGAATGTCAAATGGGAGGTCAACATGCAAAGGTTGGGATGGACAGACAATGTAAAAGTCAGAGAAGGGACAACCAAATGGCAAAGGTTTGGGTGTTAAGGACAAGATGGCAACAGCTGGAGATGGACGGAAAATGTGGCAAAGGTTTAAGATGGAAATAACCTGGCAAAAGTTGACAGAAAAAAATTCACAGCAAAAGTTTCAATTGGGAGGACATCACTCCAGAAAGTTCAACATGGCACTAAATGGAAATGGAATTACAGGGCAAAAATTGGAAATGAAAGGGCATTGACGGCATGGAAAAGGTTGGAGATGGACTGAACATGATCCAAAAAGTTGGAGAGGGTAGAACAAAACGGCAAATGTTTGAGCTGTAGGGACAACATAACAAAAGCTAGAGATGCACAGAAAATATGGCAAAACTGGAGATGGGCAGACAATACGGCAAAAGTTGGGGACCGAAGGAAATCACACATTCAGCATTATTTGGTAGTGTTCGTGCATGTACTTGTAGTTATCAGATATTTTAGCATTTAGTGAATTATTCTTTGGCTTTTAGTACTGTAATACTGAAAAAATACAGAAATGGTTGACATTCTCACCATTTAAACACTTTATTTCTTTAAGTTATGTTGGTATCACTCTCAAACATTACATGGATAAAGACAATAAATGGAAATTTGATTTCCTTTAGCGTCTATGCTTTTTACATGTAAACTCCAGGGTACACCGAAGCAGAAAATTATAAAAAGGAAATTGTGACTTTTGTTTGTCAAGCAAAAAAACAAAAACAACCAAAAAACAAAAACGAAAAAGGAGCAATAACAAAAACAGTTGTACATCAGTAAAAGAACTTTTGCTTGGTGTTCTGTTAATCCATGAACCAGGAGCTGCTCTCCCCAATGGCATTTTTTCTCTGCTGTCGATAAGTAGTGTAAAAGGCTACCCTAATACTGATGGTGGGTAAAATGAATATCCACAAAGGTGGAATTCACATGACTCATAGAGAGAAAAATGCATTCAAAACCTATTTGACTCTAGTAATCCACACAATAAGCAAAGATATCACTTTATAAAAACACTCCTTAGTAAAACGTGGGAGATTGAATACAATATATGGAATGTACCGTAATATACACGTACATGTACACATGAGCAGTTCATAACTGTAAACTTGCCTTAATTGTTTCAAATATGAAAAACAAACACTACACATGTACACGTACCAGAGTATGTACACAGTACAAATCCATGCAAATTATACACACACAGCCAGGTTCAAAAGTAATAACAAAAACAATGACATCCAAACATGTATCTATGAAAAGACAGGCAATTGTGATTGAAGTATCTTTTTTATGGACGATGCACAGCTGATGAGTTTCTGATAAAAAGCTTCTGGTAAAGTGTACAAAAATGGTGCCTTTATCAACCATTGCAGAAGTAAAATTCAGGTTTCCTGGTCATAACATAGATTTCAAAGAAAATCTACCCTGACATGCCTGAGCCAATTGTTTCCACACAAGCTTTCAATGCATGTGGAGATCAATATTCAATTTTAAAAAAAATTCACTCCATAATATTCAGTATTTCAAATTTTCTGACAAGCAAGCATTCATGAAATGCAAGTTAAGGAAAATAATTTTTAAAATAATTTCCCTAAATTTTAATCTCAAAGAACCACTTAAAGGTGTTTTCCCCACTCTGGTTACTGAAGAGGTCAATATTGTAAGACACTGACACATAATGACAAAGCAACAAAGCAGCTTGTAGGCATTATTCAACAGTAGACCCCACATATTTGTATTTGATAACAGCATTTCAGCATAGTGCCCGTAACCTGAACTTTGGGATACAATCTTGACAAGCACAGATCGATATCATTTACAGCAACATGCTTACGATTTGGCTAAAGGGAAAGCTGTCTCAATGTAGGCTTATAAAATACGAAACACAGGACCCAGATTTTTGACGGGCATAACAGCTATTTTTTTTCTTTGGAGGCATACAAAATTAATAGAAGGTATGCCATACACAACAGTCAATTTGGTTGTCGACACTCAAAATGGTCATCACACTGTTTTCACAAAAATATTTAAATTGCTGGCATTTCACAAGGTTATTTTTCACTTTCAATGCACAGTAATACATGAGAAGACTCTGCATCTGGAAGTTGTTACTGTTTAGAGTGAAAACAAATCATCAAATACATGTATGTACTCTATCGCGTGGACTGAGTTCATAGTTTTGCCGCCTTGCCTTCGGACATGATCATGAAAATCACTTGTTTTTCAACATGAAACACATTCTTTATTTTCCTCAACATCAAAGCTTTCAGAAAATGCTTTTATATACCAAGTTTCATTGTCTCATTCATGTATGGGGGTCATTTCTGACAGAAAAATTGTTAATAACTTTGAAAATTGTACCACTATCCCAAAGAAGTTAAATTTTGCTCAATAACTTACATGTAGACTAAAACTGCATTTGGACCTCCGATCAACATGACTGTGTGCCCGAGACTCTTCATTGATCAACTTGTTGGATCATTTGAAATTTTGCATAAACAACATAAAGAGCGTCGGTAGGGGTCCCAAACAAAATAGATGTAAAGATGGATCACAAACAACCAAAACAATGTTTAAAATTGTGAATTTGGTGCACAAATACATCAGAAAAACTGATCATAAAGGCTTTTTTGCCTGGTTACAGATATAAATTTCAGAGAGGTCACTTCACTGGACTCCGTACTTTTTGCTCAATTTCCAAGCAACCACTATGGAGAATACTATACATGTTAAAACTGAGATAGAGGAAGAAGCAATTAGTTTTGGGACATGCCATGACATTCATGACATTGAATTTTTCAGGCTTTGTGTTATTCAATTTTATGCCCAGCAAAACTGGCAACCTCCCGGTGGCAAAACTTGTGTACAATCTCGATTGCTCTTTACAAATTGACCAAAAACCTACAAATTAACCATCAACCACAGATTGGAAAAGGAAAAATAAATGACTGACAGTATTAATGACCAGAAACACTGTTTCACTATAAGCTCTACACATATGTAATCGTGTTATAATTAAGATGTCAAATTTTGTCAACAAAGAAAATTTAATTGCAGTCGAACCTCGTTAATTAGAACACCATTACTACATTTTCTAATATCAAGGAGTTTTAGGTTGCGATGCTTTAGTCTTCATTCCTTATAATACATGATTCCTGTTATTTTACGGTAATCTGCAAAGTCCCACAGACTTCTTATTAATTAGGGTTGAATGTTAATTGTGTCAACTTGTTACACATTCTATTTCAGCATCAAGTGTCACCAATTCAATAAATAAATTTCAATTAATAAAATGACTGAGATCTTATCTCTTATGATCTTTTCTCCTTTTGTCTCTGTGGTTTTCTTTCACTGACACCTTTTCTCTTTCAGACTTCCTTGCACTTCTTTCATGTTGATCAGTGTCATACCTGCTACCATTGTGTGTTTTACTGCTGTGTCTAATGCTAGATCTTTCATCCCTCTCAACAAGTCTACTTTCTCTGAGCCTCTTATCGGTGACCAGAGCACATTTTGCTTTGTGCACTGTACTCTGTACCTTCTTGTCACAGCGCCTTTTCTCTTTTGGCTCCAATCTGTTCCTTTTCACTGAATGTGAATCATGTGACCTACAGGTATCCCTCCTGGTCTTACTTCCAGCATAACTTGAATGTTTTCGTTCATCTTGAGCTCTTAGTCTGTCTTCCAAGATCCTCATCTTCTTCTTGAAGAACTCTGCTCTATCATGATCTTCTCCATGCCTGTCTCTGCTGTGTTTGGTTGAGGAATGCCTGTCTTTGTGACTTGATGGCTGCTTTTCTCTGGATCTGTGTCTTTTCCTCTCTTTAGATTGAGATTTATTTCTTGATGATCTGGGTCTTGCTGGTTTTGACTGCCTGTCCTTACAGTCAGATTTCCATGTTGATGCTTTTAACTGAACAGCTTCTTCAGAATCAGAATTGCTGATTATTTCCCCATCTGATAAGCTTGGTAATTCTGACGGTGCTTCATGTCTGTCTTTATAAGCTGTTTCACTGCAAGTATCCTGGTCACTTTGGTAATCCTGACCACTCTCCTCCGAGTCTCTTTGAGTATCAGCATTTTCATCACAGTTATCCTCATCATCCAGGTTGCTATAGCAACTGCTCCCTGAATCTCCCAACAGACTATCATGAGCAGGGGAGGCACTGCAACTTAGAGCATCAAAGTTGGGTAGATTAATGGATATCTCAGCCACACTGTCTGATTCAGGAAGACAATGCTGACTTGGAGAGCATTTAGTTGAACGCTTTGGGGTTACATCAGAACTTAGAGGTTCCTTACTAATGTTGGGATCTGGAAGTTTTGGCTCAATAACTGAAGAGTGAAAAGAAACACGTTCGGTGAGTCTTTCATTGGATGCAGTTGAAGATGCATCAGCAGATAGTCGACTGCATTCCGTTTCCTGATCACCAACATCCATTTCAAAACCTAAATCATCTTTGGATTGAGATACCCTTGTGGGTACTTTATTGCCATCATCTGTGGGTGGTAATTCTTTCCTTATTTGTTTCCCCTGAAGGATATTGCAACTACCCACCAAATCTGTTGGCACTTCCTCTGTATCATGAGATTGCACAACCATTTCAGTTTCACACTGAGCACAGCTACTGGGACTTGAACTTGGTAGGACTCCAAACTGAATGTTTAACTGAGCACTAGCAGGAACGGAGGGACCAGCATCTTGGCTGTTATTTTCAACATAGCTACTACATGTAGAACCCCGCTTTGGGGAACCAGAATCCGATGAGTTGCCTGCTTTCATTAGTTGCTTGCATGTCACTTGTTCATCATTCACATGGTTTGGAGATACATCTATATGTACTTCAGCCAAGTCCCTCTGATGAAGAATGTTCTGCTCTGAACCAAGTCCAGAACTAGGTTGAGAATTAAAATTTATCCTCTCATTGCTGTCTGTTAGCAAGATGCTATGCCTACCCAAAGCATTCGGAACAGTCTTAGAGAATGTGCCTTGGTTGCTTTCATTTTCCATTGCATCCAAAGATTGCTGCAAATCACCAACAAAACACCCTTGAAAAGAACGCGGCATTAAACCTTCTGTGATTTGGAATGAAGTCTGTCCTTCCCTACTGCTTTCTACATCATCACTTTCAAGAAAACTATTGCTTCCAAAAACTTCTAGTATTCTTTCAGAAAAACTATCACTAGTGTTTGCTGTTTTAGACAGTGCTGACTTTAAACAACCACCTAATGCTTTCCCTGTTGAAGAATCTCGAAACTTTGAACTTGATTCAGCTTGCACAATTGCATCACAAACAGTGGAGTCTGACTGGCTTGGTTCCAATTTTTCATCTCCAGCATGTTCCTGCAACTGACTGTCAGAGAAATCTATAATCAAATTATCACTAGTCTGGACTGCCAAATCATCCTCCGAGGTGACAGTTTGTTCTAATTCAAGTCTTAGTTTACTACTCTCTTCCTTATGACAACGCTGAAGGTTCTTATCTTGACAACTGGCACTAAGGGAAATGGTGGCCGAGAAAGATACAGATGAGGTTGATGTTGATTCAGAGTCAGCAACTGATTCTCTATCATCTTGGCTTGCTGGTGCACAGATCAAAACAGTTTCATGTTCAGAGGAGTAGCCACAACTTTCAGGGTCTGGCTGTCTCAAGGATGACAATCCCTCAACCTTGACTGGACTTTTATTGGAAGTATTAGCATCTTTCAAGATTGCCTGTGATCCCTGCACAAGTAAACTTGCGTTGTCTTGATTCTCAGGTATTTCTCCAAACTTGTTATAATTCAGAACATCAGCTTGCTTTCCTCCATCTCCGGGGATGATAGCACAGTGACTTGCATTTTTATCTGATCCAGTCATCAACTTTTTCTTACTTTTGCTTTTCCAGTCAATGTCTGGTACTGTTGGCATTGAGCTTTCAATGTTCTCAGGAAGATCCGTCTCACAGGGCTTCTTACTCACATTAATTTGTGCAGTGCTTGACAACTTCAAATCTGTGGGTGGGAATAAAGTGCAAACTTCATGTCTCTTTTCACTTGTAAAGCCTTGTTTCAATCCACTTTCATCCTCAATATCACTCTCAAGCACCTCTCCTTCTTCTAACTCTTCCTGTTCTTTTTTGCTACTTGTATGTTTGGAGCAATTATCCCTACTACCAGCCACTCTTTTGCTCTTGTGTTTACTGGAGCTGTGTCGTTTCCTGTCCTTGTGCTTCCTGGTATCATCTGTCTGATTTTGGTTGTGTTTCTTTGGAGTACTGTGTATTCGATACAACGTTTCTTTGGCTCGTTTCAGTGACTTGTTTTTACGATCTGACTGGTGTCTCTTGCGTGTGCAATCCCTCTTGTCTTCCACACTTGCTGTCTCACTTTTCTGATGACTGGAAGTCTTTGACCTGTGTCTCTTCTTCTTACTCTCTCCTGTTGACGCCTTCTTATCAGGGCTGGCACCAATGTCGTGTATTTGCAATCTTCGCCTATCAGAGCACTTTCTGTAATGTTTATCATTGGATTCTACTGTTGATTCTGCTTTGTGTTTCTTCTGAGGTGCTTTATCACAAGACTGGTATTGATGGCCAGAATCCAGATGACTAGAGTCTTGTCCCTCTGAACTATGCCTTCTTTTTCTCCTGCTACATCGAGAAGATATAGCTTTTGCTCTTGAGTGTTCGCTTAATGGCTCATGCTTTGAGCTATGACTGGACTTACGATGAACCCTCTCTCTATTGCTGGCATATTTTGAAGGACTTGATCTATCATTTGACCTTTTTGAATGGGTATTTCTACGGAGAGTACCTTCTAGTTCTGAAGATGTACCATTTTCACTTTCTTCTATACTCAACCCAGGATGGTCGTGACTACTAGATGTACTTGGTATCTTAGGTATTCTGTAGTTACTTAAAGACTGCCTGTTTAGGACTATCTCTGAATACATGCTACTGTTATATTTACTACACATCCCATTGTCTTTGCTTTTACTATCTGAGTTTGTGCTAAACTTATCACTGTCTTTGGCAAGGTCCTTCTGCACAGCAAGCTGTTCTTCATGGCAGTTTTCATAATTGTCTTTCATCTTCCTGCAAATATTCTCTTTGGAATCTCCGGTTGTGGTTGTTTCATTTCTTGGCAGATCATATCTCTTTCCCCTGCTGGAGGTAGTAATTCCTTCTTCTTTTTCTGGATCAGAAGGCTTCCTTGTGCCACCGCTCTTACCTGAAGGTCCATCTTGCCTGTGTGGGGACTCCTCCCTGCTGGCTTTCTGCTCAACACCACTGGCGTGTCTACGATAGGTTTCGGTGTTTTTCCTGAGGTCACGCAGCCTGTCGTTTATGGAAACTTTGTAATCTCTCTGCTGCCAATGTCTGGGCCTACCGCTTAAAACAAACAAGAATAAAAAACCTTTTATAGCAACACATACACATGTATATTCTTCGACAAATGCAAATCTTTTGTGAAAAGCTCAGTAAAATAAAAATTTGTGAAACAAGGGTCTCATCTGGTAGTTACAAACTGAAATGAAGGCCAAGAATTGTGCTTAGAGCTTACCTCATCAAATTTTATTTTGAATGACGAAAAAATTATGACAAAATGAAATAACAGATTAGTAAACAAATGTAAATACATGTAAAAGATAGAATAACGCAATACCCACTTCCATCCCCAATAGGCTTGGACAGTACATGTATTTCCATATTATCAAATAGTGGCAATTTTTAAGCGATACTGAAAAAATACCAACTGGTGGTCTACAAACACCTAAATACTGGCAAATCCTGTATGGAATTTCAATACCATGGTATTCTTGCTTTGAAAATAAAGGAAAACCACCATATTGTCGTGTTTCACTCCACCTTTGTGGTACAAGTCATCCAGTGTCAACCAGTATCTGCATTGTCACTTGGACTTTGTAACATGAAAGTTAAACAACCCCCAACCCACCAGCCAAATGCCTTTAAAGTTTAACCCTCGTCATTGTGTTTTTGGGTTTGGTGTACATGAAGCTTTTAGAGTCTGACTGGCATGCCCAGTGAATGTCACTGCTTATCTCTGTTGCTTTTGATGACGCACACTCAATACCCCGCTTCAAAGAATATCACGATAGTAGCGTATATTGCATTATTTTTATCACAAATATTGCAGTATTAAAAAATAAAATACTTTCCAAGGATACCCCAAAATATAATTCAATCTACTGAAATTTCCAGAAGGCAAACTTGATGCAAAGAACGTGTATAATCAGTGACAGACACTTTGGCCAATTCAACGCGCAAGAACTCTTGGCAACTTCAAACCTGTTTGCCAGTTCTTCCAGCTGCCTGTCTTTTCTTCTAAGCTCTGCTTTTGCTGTCTTAAATAACTCAGAGATGTTTGTCTTCAGAATCTTGTTCTCCTGGACTATGGCTGCATTCTGTAAAATTGGATTAGAATGTACCTGTACATGTAGATGTAGAAATATCACCACACTGGGTATGAATGTATGTTTAAATCCCACATTTAAACTGATCAACTTCTGCTTCTGCTTCTTGTTACTGCGAAAACATCCTAAAGAGGCTTTTGTGTCTGTTGTCTTACCTTTTCTGAAGCAGAGTTTGTGCCTAAAATGGCATTTTTTAGTACTACACATGAGTAATGTATAACATACATGTACATGTATCTAAACAACCAACTGCAATGCTATTTTTCCTGTCACTGGCAATATGCTGTCTGTTTTGGAGCAACGATCAAACATCACTAATAACTTAGGAAACAAATAACAAAGAAATCAAACATAAAAGACCTTGTAAAAGCCAACTCAGTATACTAACACACATCAGACGCACACAGACGTGGAATTAGCAACAGTAAAACTGCATGTACATGTATGCCCTTTACATGGACCTCGTTCTTAAACCACAGACACGTAAATGTGATCCAGCAAAACTCAAGTTAAGCTCCAGGAAACTGACCATTAACACAGAGACTCTCTTGATTAAGCCAGCGAGATGAAGTGAATTTACCTGTGTTTGCAGACACTGCAGCTGGTGCATGAGCTCCTTCACCTTGGCTTCATTTTCAGCATTGTTTTTCTCCAACTGTGATGGAAGAAAAAGGCATTTAAAAGTGATATGCAAGTAATCTACAGGATTCACAAGTCTGGTAACAAGTACCAAACATTTCTTTTAAAGGTTTAACAGACAGGCACATATTTAACCTCATTTCTATCACAAAGTGTGACTTGATCCCATGACATGAGTCTAAGTACTTTTCTACAAGTGATATTTGTAACGTACAAAAATAGGCCTGTCACTGTAAACTTAGGTGACTTTAACGATGATAAAAGGTGAACCATGGCTCACATGTACTGTGCATGATGAATGGGAAGATACCTGCATTAATTTGGCCAAGTTGGATCTGGAAATATTGATCTTATAGCTTACAATTATTGTACAGTATGCACATCTTTGACTGCCTGCAGTACCGGTACCTGCTGCTGCACTGGATTTCAGCCAAACACCCGATTCTGGCAAATTTGGTGGTTGAGTGGTTGAAACCTCTGCACTACTCAGCAGGAAGTTGTGGGTTCAAATCCAATCTGAGCAAGTTTGTGATTTTTTTGCAGCTCTCAAACCATGAGTTTACAATGTGAATGTACATGTACACATGTACATCAGTGTAAGGGCAAAACCTAGTATATAATGAAGGATGTTTTTCAGTATTTCTAAATTGCTTCTATTCCATGAGAGGAAAAAGAAACATAAATGTACCTGTTCAACAGATGCTTGGACGCTACCAGTTTCCTGTTGTTCAAGAAGTAGGTCACTATAGATGTCAAAAGTTGAAAGATTACTTGTCTCATCTTCCATTGTCCTACACTGAAAGGCAGCACAAAAATAAATGATAAAGAATTTTTCCAACACTTCACAGGATTTAGTTCACAACTAAGCATGGTATGCTTTCTTGTTTAAGCCTAATTCTTACAGGAAAGTACATGTAAACCATCTCCTCAAAAGATGTTGCATAAATGCCGCGTCTCCATTTCCAGCAGAAGTCAGTCACTGAAAATGAGTTCAGGGGAAAAATCAATGTCAGACTGAGAATAATTTGAACCTGGATGTTTGGGGGGGGAGGGATTTTACTATGACAACTCATGTGCCATTGATTTGAAGTAAAAAAAATCATAAGATGGAATTAGGACCTAGTGCCATTTTGACCTCATTTCCATTGTAAAAAAATATCTTCTAAAGCCACAAATAACAAAAAAGAAAGTTTTTCTACAATTTAATGTAGGACTCCATTTAAAGCAACATAAGGATGATTTTGGGACAAGGGTGGGTCTTGAACATGTTGAAACAGGACCCATGTACATGTTGTACTGGAAACAAGTACCAGTGTCACATGTTTTATCCACTCTACCACCCTATCAAAGACTGATGAAGTTAAAATAGCATGAAATTTTTTAGGGTCAGTGAGTGGAACAAATTTGAAAATAATTACTCAAATTTTTAAGGTTAAAATATTCCAACAAATAAAGCAATTTTTCTTTTTTTCATAAAATACTGTGCCGGTAAATTGTTTGAAAAAATCAGAACTTCATTTTTGAAAATTACGTGTATATTGCAAATGCGCATCCACATCATGGCTAACGGCAGACAAATCCCCAATTACCTACATGTCCATGTACAGCAAACTTACTAAATGCACATCATGTCACATTACAGAGTGATCAGGAGCTGCTTGGCAAATACCAAGGCATTCCAACAGCAGGGGGGGCCGCGTTGGCTTTAATGTAATGGACATTGCATGTGTTTGTCTTGAGAGTCATGATCTTTCACTTTTCACATTTAATTTCATCTTTTTTTTTCATTTTATAAGACAATTTTATACCATACTTTTCCTTGGAGTTATTTTTATTTTGGCAATTGCCGAATGTACAATAGATGAAATGTTTTTCATTTCGTGATAATAATAATAATAAGCATTTAGTGAGCGCTCTACTAAGAACACAGCGCTTTACAAATAAAAATAATAAATAAATTAAAAAATTAACAAACAAAAATATAATGAAGTTGAAACAGTAAACTAAATGTGTCTGAATACCCTCAGTCCGGGAAAAAGAACTTTTTGAGGAGGCGTTTGAAGACAGGGGTTGACGCCACTTCCCTGATGTCACACGGCAGCTGGTTCCACGGCAGCTGGTTCCATAGTTTTGGAGCAACAAAGTAAGAATTATTTCCAGCTTTTCTGGTGGAGCATGGGACAACTAGCCGAGTGACATCAGACGAAGACCGGAGTCTACGACCTTCTTCCGGGCGACCAGTATTGTACAGGTTGAGATGTTCAGATAAATAGCTGGGTGCCTCTCCATGAATAGACTTGTAAATGTAAAGAAGGATTTTGAACTGAATTCTTTCTTGCATTGTCACCAATCAATAATTTTCATTCAAGTTTGTCACATGACTGTGTACTTTCTTCAGCATACTTTATAAAGATAAAGTCTAAAAACTGACAGTGACTGAAGGTTAGTCCCAAGCATTTATATCACTCTAAACATACACTGTACATGTACAGGTAACTGGATAGTTCTTTTCAAAGATTTTGCTGTTCTGACCTGATTTTGGTGGGGGTATGAAAGTAACATCTTTCCCAGAATGGGTTCCAGTCGGTTAAGGG